CTGTCGGATCCCCGGGCGGCCGGGGGGGGACATGGTCCCCTCACTCGCCCCTTGCTGGCGGCCATGAAGAGGCAGAACGTGCGGACCCTGTCCCTCATCATCTGCACGTTCACCTACCTGCTGGTGGGGGCTGCCGTCTTTGATGCCCTGGAGTCCGACAACGAGATGCGGGAGGAGGAGCAACTCTCAAAGCCGAGGAGATCCGGCTCAAAGGAAAGTACAACATCACCAGCGAGGACTACCGGCAGCTGGAGTTGGTGATCATGCAGTCCGAGCCGCACCGGGCCGGCGTCCAGTGGAAATTCGCCGGCTCCTTCTACTTTGCCATCACGGTCATCACGACCATCGGTGAGTGTCTCACCTCGGGGAGGTCCTCGGGGACCAGGGCCGGGGCTGGGGCAAAAGTCCCCCTGGTTGGGAGAAAGGGAGAGGGGCAGGGGTGCTGTGGCATGCGTAGGGTTAAGTGCCGGATGAGTTTTTTTGGCCTTCCCTCCCGTGTTATGTAATTCATCGCTCTTCACTGGGCACTTGTTGGACTTGGCGGTGTCCTGCACCTCTTCCCCTGGAGATGGAGCCTGCGTCCCCTGGGTGGGACTGGAGAGGAGTGTGGCCGGGGGGGGGGACTGGGACCGGCCAGGTGGCTACCATCGAGCTGTGGCTTGGGTGGCAAGGAGGAGGGGGGAAGAGGCAGGGTGACACTCTCCTGGGGTTCCCCTCGGGAAGAAGGAGGCCCTGTTGCCACGCTTCTCCTTGTACCTTTGCTTAAGAGGTGTGGGGAAAACTTCGGTAAAAGGCTGTTGGATGAGGATGAAAATGAGGAGGACGTGGGAACTGGATCAGCTGGGAAAGCCTCTGGTGTAGCTAGGCGCAGCCTGGCTTTCGCAAACTTTGTTTTGGTGTTGGCAAGGGCTGTGGTGGGGGTTCCCACAGCTGTGGTCCCATCGCTGGGCCTCTCCTGGGCATTCCCACCATGTTCCTGAAGTTTTTATTGCAGCTGGAGTGTCTGGTGTGCCAACAGGTCACAGTCTGCGTCTCCTCTTTGTGGGCATGCGGTCCGACAGGCAAAACGATGCCTGCTGTCGCATCCGTGCTGCCCAGCTTCCCAGCCGTCCCATTTCCCAGGCCGGTCGAGGGACAGTCAGTGGACACAGCCACAGGCTGTCATTTTGTAGTTCTCTGCTTCCCGCAGCTAAAGCAGAGGAGCGTTTCGCGTAAAGTTTGCTTCCCTGCCATAAAAATAAATACCACGATAACCAGAGGCTGCAGAGCACACGCAGAACTGTGCCACAACTCTGGCTTTGGCTTGCTGAGCGGGTTTGTTCTCCCTGGCTCTGCATTCGTTCAGGTGGATTTACTGAGGCAGTTGATAACGTTCTTCTCCCAGCACTTCTAGCTGTTTCCCCATAACATCTGGGGAGATCTGAGAAGACCTCTCTAGCTCAGTGTCTGTTTGACCGTGCGTTATATTGAACAGGACACGAAAGACTAGCGCTCGTATTAATACAGAAGGACTCAATCTATTTACCGTTTAGGGCTCGTTACAAGAAATGTGCGTGTTGCCACCTGAAGATACTGACAGTTTTCAGCAGAGCATGCTATCCACTGCCCTTTGAGTAGGGTCTACTTACATTTGTATTTGACTGTATTATACTTGGGGCAGTAAAAAATTTCCTTTGAAAGACTATCTGACAGTATAAAACCTGTTTGCCCTTACAAAGATAAGATTTTTAAGGGATAATTTCCTCTTTTCTGTTATTAGATATATTTATATAAAACACATATATTAATAGGCTGTAGAATATAAAGTAGAATGTAACTTTGACTTCTGACTTAGATTTCCTGCTGTTCATTACGATGTCAGAACTCTCCTTCCTCCTTTGGTGGCTGATTCTCTCTTCCTTGATCTGTCTCTTGTCATTTCTTGGTGCTAAGTGCGTACGGGACTGTTGTGCCCCTCTGGATTACACCCAGGCTTCCACGCACACTCCTGTGTACTCGTGCTGCCCTGTACTCCTGCCTCAGAGGTAGCTGCAATACTTTCTGTGTTCTTAAGCTCGGTTGGTGACAGGTAGAAAGGTCTGTTTTTGCAGTAGTTTGCTGTTTTGATTGTATTTTACCTGGACACAAGTACAACTTGCTTGGGAAGATTTAGCATTTTCTCCTGCAAAAAGTTGGGATTTGTTTCAGAAGCTCAGAGCACCTCAGCGTGCAGAGGATAGCGTGCATTTCTGTAGGCAGAGACACTTTGGGATGTCAGAATTGTTTAAACTTTAAATGTGTATGGCAATGCCGAACCACTGGGAGGAAAAGTGATAATGAAGAATGGTGCAGAAAAGCAGACATTCTTTAATGATTGTTCATTTGGGAAACTGCTCCAGGAGGACAGACGATCCCTCTTTCAAAAGTTTATTAATAGTTGCTATCTGCATCTTGCCAAACGCACTTCTATTTTGTGTATTATCTCTTCAGTAATAAAGTACCTTCATGATGTTATCTAATCTACTGGTAGTCTGTAAAAGTAAACATGGAAGGTTGTTTTTTTGTATTTTCTTATTTATCCTAAAATAATCTGTTTCAAAGCGGGGAAAAATGACTTTCTATGTCTAAGTTCTCAGGAATATAAGAGAAGGTTTTTTCTCTGTTTCTTGCACGGGGCAGTGATCTTAAATATTCATATTAGTCTTTTGTGATGGTTCTTGTTTTTAATCTGACTGTGCTTATGCACTCACATACATTTCCTTCTCCCTCTGAAATCTTCCAGACAGACTTCAAGGAGCACATGCCGTGGTGCATGCGTTAGTGAACGTGCTGTAGTCAGCAGGTGCTCCTGCGGAAGTGCACCTAACTAACCATCGCAGGCTGATTTTGAAAAGAGAGTGAATAAAACCCTTTGTTGCCTCATCTAGAGTGGTACACCTGTCTCCACAAACTTCTCTTCAGAGGAGTGCAGTAGGAATCAGCCGACCACAAAGTCTAACAATATGCATATGATCACAGACCTAATTGTTCTCCTTGATACTGCCCTGCTAGCAACATCTCTGAAGCGATTACCTCATTACTGCGTTGATTTAAACTACCGTGGCTTTAACTGAATCACAGACGTGTACGGCTGGCCACCCGGCCTCCCCTCCCCGGGCAGCCTCCGCGGCCCGGTGCTTCCTGCGAAAACACCTCGTGAAAGACCTGTTGGGACGAGAGGATGAAGAAGTGACAGCCTCCCGTGGGAGGCGAAGCGCTGAGGTTTGGTCAGCTCTCACGTTTCCTCTGATCTATGGCACTTGGCATTTATTAGAGGGTGGTAGGGGGCGGCTTGCTTGCCAAGGTGACTACTAAACAAAGAAGTGAGGGCTGACTGAGTAAATGGAAACAGTTTTTTTCACCTGTGAAACATTTTTTCCTACTCCCCAGGTGTTTTTTTTCTTTTTTTTTTCAACTGACCCAACAAAAATTAAAAAATTAAGAACCACAAGTGCTACAACATTCGATGACTCCACTCTTAAAATCCAATAGCAGAAGAAAAATACCCTGCTTTCATGAAGTTTTGGTCATGTCTGACTTCTGTGAAAGTTTTTATGTGATCAAAAATAACTCATAATAACATAATTCTTTACAATGAGGGTGGTGAGGCACTGGAATAGGTTGACCAGTGGAGTTGTGGACATCCCCTCCCTGGAAGTGTTCAAGGCCAGGTTCAATGGGGCTTTGAGCAACCTGGTCTAGCAGAAGGTGTCCCTGCCCATGGCAGGAGGGGTGGAACAAGGTGACCTTTAAGGTCCCTTCCAGCTCTAACCATACTATGATTCTATGACTCTAATAAGCTGTTCTTGGCTCTCCCCAGTTGCTGAGTGTATTTTGGGATTGTTGTCACTTCAGAGTTAGCTAGTGTAATTTCCTATCCATTTCCAGTTACACAGCCAAAATGATGACAGAGAGTGATTTAATCAAGTTCTCCATCCAGCTACTTGTCTTTTATGAGATACACTGTAGAATACGCCACAGAGTTCATCAAGAGGCTGGATACGATGAATGAAGACACCAACCTTTGAAAATCAAATGTAATTCCTAGGATTCCTACTAAGTTTTAATGCCCTTTTCTACAGGTTTATTAAAGTGAGTAAACTGCTTCTATATAAGCAGGTGTCAACACTGTCAAAATGTGTTATTGGTGTGGATATCGCTTCATCATTTAGGCCTTAAAGGGTGATAGTCATACTTGATTTAACACCACCGAGCTCTAGTAAACACTGAATATTTCTGGAGGCTTATGCAGAATGTAAAGAACTGAAAGCTGTTTATGTCACCCTAAAATGAACTGAAACAACAAACAGATTGAGGATTTTTATTTATTTATTTTTTTCCTGAGAAGTCACTGCAAGGGGAGCAAAATTAAGACACTGTGTTGCTAGTCTCTTCTTCTAGCTTTTAGGCCTTTGTTTTGAGTTTCAAACCTACTACAAGCAGTGACTGAACCATCCTAGTGAACACAGACAGAATATTTTTAAGAATGTAGTGCAATACGTGTAATGGTGAACGTATTATCCACCTATTGACAGCTGTTTGGCTGTTGCGTAGCTGAACACTCAGGAATTGCCTACCTGCAGATGAGGAGACTGCATAATTCTGGCAGATGGTGGCCTAACAGGGAATTTGAACCTGCATTATTGAACTGAGCAAACACATGCTTAGATCCATTTCAGGATAGTAGTTAAATCTCCGTATCCTTCCTCTGCATCACTTTACACTTCTGTAAAATGGGTATAAATATACTATGTTGTTTGTGTTGCAATGTCTCTAATTTGGTTTAGAAAAAAGAGAGAAGTATTTTTACATGCCAATTATTTTGTTAGCATTTCTCCTCCTTTGTGACCAGCCTCTGGTGTTTTGAGTCTGCTCTTGGTTTTTGACGGATGGTAATATTTAGTGGTAGTCTACTGAAAAGTCTTGAGCAGGGAATCATGGCAGATCGACAGTTTGCTGTGTAGAGAAAGAAAAGAACCAAAGAAAACAAGACATAGAAAGGGAAGGAGAATAAAGACATCAATGCTTTGGTCAGTTAACTGCTACATGTATGATTTGCCAGGACCATGAAGGTCGTATCTCACACACACACACAAAAAAAAAAAGTACAAGCACAGAATAGGTTAAAGCTACTCTATTATTAATAAACTCAGGTGAAAGCAGAGAGCAAGATTCTCTGGTGATATGAATGCTTGTAGATGCACTGAAGTAATGAATCTATTCATTCACACCATCTGAAGCTTTAATGGAGAATACTGGATTATCAGGACATGTAATGTGTGTTGGTAGTATCTCCCAGGCAAGGAGAAGGTCACTTTCAACGAGCTCCA